GGCAGAGGCAGGCGGATCTCTGAGTTCAAAGCCAGCCTGGTCTACAGAGCTTGTTCCAGAATAGCTAGGGCTATTACAGAGAGAAACCCTGTAAAAAACCAAAATAGAAAGAAAAAGGCAGAAGGAAAGAACAAGGGATGTACCCTGGACAAGAGGTCAGGCAGGAAGCAGCCAGCCAGCCAGCCACAGAGCAATAGTGAAAGGAAGTACACAGAATTAAGAAAGGCAGTAAACCCCAAGGCAAAGGGCAGATCAAGAGAAACAGATTCATGTAAGTTAAAAAAAAAAAAAAAAAAAAAAAAAGCTAGCTGAGAAACAGGGCTTCAAATAGTAAGTCTCTGTGTAATGATCGGGGAGCTGGTTGATGGCCTAAAAGAAGAAGCTTGGTAGAGCCATCTCTCATTAACTCCCCTGATTTCCAATACTGCTTTAACTTTCTGTGTGCAAAAGTCAGTTTTTCTAGCAACACACTTTTTTTTTTTTTTTTTTGGGGGTTTTTGAGGCAGGGCTTCTCTGTGTAGCCTTGGCTGTCTTTTAACTCAGAGATCCACCTGCCTCTGCCTCTCAAGGGCTGGGATTAAAGGTATGCCAGCCTCATCACAGCCTCCCCACCCCCCCAGGGTTTCTCTGTATTGCTTTGGAGGTTGTCCTGGAACTCTTCTGTAGACCAGGCTGGCCTAAAGGCGGGCACCACCAACGCCCGGCCAATACAACCTCTTAAAGTCAAGAGGATAATAGGTTTACTGCTTTCAGTGTTCTACTGCCAGCACTGACATACATGATGAAGAGATGTGCACATGAAGAACTCAGCCTAGGCCGGGCGTTGGTGGTACACTCCTTTAATCCCAGCACTCAGGAGGCAGAGGCAGACGGATCTCTGTGAGTTCAAGGCCAGCCTGGTCTCCAGAACGAGTGCCAGGATAGGCTCCAAAGCTACACAGAGAAACCCTGTCTCAAAAAAAACCAAAAAGAACTCAGCCTAACAGCAGAAATGAACAAAGGCTCAGATGGTAAATGAACCAAACATTTCCAACAGTATCTGAAACAGATAATTTATCAAATGGATTCTAAAAATCAATATGCCAAGTAAGCATTTTCTTAATGTCTCCTACTTAAATTTCCCATGTTTTTCTCAGTTCACATACACAAAACAGATACAAAAAAAATGTAGACTATATTAGTACCACTGAAAGAAATGTGTCTATATTATGTTAAATATGTCCACATAGACACACATACATTTATACACATGCTCTATCATTCCCGAGAAAATGAGTTAAATGAACGACGGAGACCTAAACAATGCTTTTCTGTGGCTTATGACTTGGTATTTCTTTTTCTGTAACTCACAGAGATCTGCCTGCCTCTACAGTGCTGAGATGAGAGGTTTACATTACCATACCTGGCCTATCCATGACTTTGCAATATAAGTGCTGGTCAACTGTAAAATACTGGTTCCATAAGTCACAAAAATTTTATTTAATGTTAAGATATTCCATTACAGATTTTTTTTTTTTTTTTTTTTTTTTTTGGGACACAGGGTCTCATGTAGCCTAAGCTGGTCAAACTGAAATGGTTACTTAACTCAGTCGAAACTACCCTTGAATTTCTGATTATCCTGCTTCTAATTCCCAAATTATGGGATGAAAAACATGTCCCACTGTCTTAGATAGGGCTGAGACACCATGACCATGGCAACTCTTATAAAGGAACACATTTAAGTGGGGCTGGCTTACAGTTCAGGTGTTTAGCTCACTATCATTGCCGTGGGTTCCACACAGGCAGACATGTGTTGGAAAAGGGGCCGAGAGCTCTACATCTCGATCAGCAGGCAATAGGAAGTGAACGGAGTCCCACACTGGGTATAGTCTGAGCTCATGAGACCTCAAAGCCCACCCCCAATGACACACTTCCTAACAGTGCCGCTCCCTATGAACCCACGGGGGGCAATTACACTCAAACCACTACACATTATGTGCTCTGTTTAAAAAAAAAAAAAAAAAACAAAACCCACATTTACAATACTACAAGTGATGTCATCAGACATTCTTTAAGTACTGTAAGTTAATGTCATGGCAGTAAATCTAAATCTTCAGAATTTCTCATTTTTATTCGACAACAAGTCCTTTCATCATCTGGAGGAAACACTTTTCCTTGAAAAGTATTTTCCTTGCTGTGATGGGATCATTTTGTTTATTCATGAGAAAATGCTTACAGATACCCAAGTCTGATGAGCCAATGCTGTGCACCAATCACGATTTCAAAGGGAAACAGAACAACTTGTACAGCTCACTGTACAAGTGTTTAAGACAGTCGTCTTTTGTCACATACAGTCACATTTCACCACGCACAAAGTTAAAATCAAGTGCTTTAAGATTTAGGGCAGGCAGATGGCTCATAGGGTAAAGGTACTTGCTGCCAAGTCTGACAACCTGAGTTCGATCCCCAGAACCTGCAAGGCAGAGCAAGAGAACTGGTTCCTCCCTGCTAATTATCCTGATCACATGTGTGTCCACTAAGCATACACACAAAATAAATGTGGTAACAAAACAGAGTATGGGGGCTGGAGACATGGCTCAGAGGTTAAGAGCAAGAGCAGCTCCTCCAGAGGTCTCAAGTTCTATTCCTAGCACCCACATGGTGGCTCACAACCGTCTGTAATGAGATCTGGTGCCCTCTTCTGGCGTATCAGCATATATGCAGGCAGGACGTCACACACTCACACTCACTCACTCACTCTCTCTCACACACACACACACACAGAGAGAGAGAAAGAGAGAGAGAGAGAGAGAGAGAGAGAGAGAGAGAGAGAGAATTAACAATCATTCCCATTGCATCCTAGATAAACTTCTTCCAAAATGGAGCTGACTGGCAGCAGTGAGGACGAAGAGTAGCATCATAACAGATGGTTGTGAGCCACCATGTGGTTGCTGGGAATTGAACTCGGGTCCTCTGGAACAGCAGCCAGTGCTCTTAACCTCTGAGCCATCTCTCCAGCCCGACTTCATCTTTTAACAATCTAATAGCAACCAACCTTTATACATTTTACTTATTACTGGTTTTCTAATTAACAATTTTCAAATTTTCCCCTTTAGTTTAGATCTTTGTAATCCTAGATGCAAAATGGATTCATTAATCATAAATTCTGCTGACACATGAATTTACCTGGTTTTACACATAAATAAGAAAAATCATATGCCCTTCCAAACTGATACACTGAACATATTCATATGAATATGTTCATTTATTTCATTTGAATAACATACATGTTCATTTAATCCTCTCCCTCTAAAACTGGCTTATCCCTTCCAATTACTGAAATACCATCCATCTTTAATTAAGTCAGTATTTCTCTTCCCCCTTCTCTCCTCACTCACTATGTAGCCCTAGCTAGCCTTGAACTCAGAGATGGACCTATCTCTGCCTTCAAAGTGCTGGATTAAAGGCATGCATTATCATGCCCAGCAAATCAGTCTGTTCTGGCTACCCAAGTAGGATTCTCTTTTTCCACTGAATACCTAGCACCAAATACCCTATTTTTACCAGCTTCTGTTTGCCTTTCCTTACCTAGACTGTAATCTTTCTGGGGTAAAAACATTATTATTTCTCTACCCACTCAGCAATCATTAGCACAGTGCCTGGCTAATGCCCTATATGATCTTTACTAGAAACTTACCAGTGAGGCGCAGACTGGCCTCCATATCAAAACAAAGACCTGAAAACTATACTAGATGTGGTAGCATGCAGCTGTAACCCCAGCATTACGAAGGCAGAGGCAGAAGCATCATAAATCTTTAGCTAATCTGGGCTATAAAAACAGAGACATTAAAATGTATTAAAAAGCAAAAAGCAAACAACCTAGACAACTACAGCAGGCAGTGTAATCTGCTTTACACACCTGAGCTCACTCTAGCTCTTCATAATAAACTATATGTGTGTTTTTCTTTTCTAGACCAAATTTTATCTATAACGTTTACTCAGTTGACAAGATAACCAATATACATTATAACCCAGGAAACAATTACTCTCTGGACAAGGATGATGCTTGAGGGCCGAAGACAGCTTGGTGGTTAACAGCAATAGTTACTCTGCAAGAGGACCTAAGTTCAGTTCCCAGCACAAACAATGGGCAGCTGACAACCCTTTGAAACTCCAGCTCCAGAGGGATCCAATGCCCCTTTCTGATCTACATGTAAGCATGCTGATGTACATGACACGCTCCCGTATACATGTACTTATGGAAGTCAGAGGACAATCTGGAGGAGTCACTTTCTTCCTACTAACACGGTGATTCTGGGGATAGAACTTAGGTCTTCAGGCTTGGTGACAAATGCCTTTACCTGGTGAGCCATGCTACCAGCCCTTATCCAAACCTTTAAAATAATGATTTCAGTATAGAATTATTTTGTTAAATAAAGTTAACAATGGAAATCTATTTACACAATACCACATGACAGTCTTGCTAAGTGTTTTTAATATTTCAAGGTACAACATCAACAGGAGCAGCATGATTCTCTTCTTGTATAGGAATCTATAAATCCAAAACCCCATTCAAACAAAAAAATCCTCACCTCATAAATTACTTTTGGCATGATGAACATACACCACCATAATATTTTAAAGTGTTTGATAACATAGTCTTCTTTTTTAAAAAAACTTTAACCACCTATCCAGTATGATTATTTTAGATTTTGGAGTTTCCTTAAATGGAAGATACACAATCTTATCCAACACAAAAGCATGATTTTTTTTTTAAATGATACTCTCTTTATTAAAAACTTTTCATACAATGTCATATGTTCCCAAGCTTACCTTTTCATTTTTCTTGTCTGTTTCTGGTGGCTGCTTTGCTGTTATGCTTCGGGGAGTTCTAACAATTTCATCCTCAGGTACTTCAATAGTCCGACCATTTGGCTGCACAGGTAACAAGAAAACACCATTATTATCAAACTGGCTGGCTGGCCAAACCAAAGATTTATACCTGGGAAATAACACATACAACTATCAAGTTTTTCCCTGACCCAAATTCAAATTAACAAGACTGTATGGCCATATCACCTAGATATCAGTGGACTAATAAGAGTGTTTTGTGATATACATAATGAATTAATTTTTAAAATTTTATACCTTTATTTACTTTTATTGTGTAAGTGTTTTGCCTTGAATGTTGGCCATGTATGTGTCTGGTCCCTGTCGAGGTCAGGAGTCATATATGGTTGTAAGCCACTTTGTGGGTGCTGGGAATTGAACATGGGTCCTCTCCAAGAGCAGCCAGTGTTCTTAACTGCTGAGCCATCTCTCCAGCCTCCCTATAATGAACTCACAGCAAAATTTTGCACCACAAATTTTCTGATCACACACAGGAAATAATAATAATAATAAAAGCAACGAAACAGAGGTATTGTTGAAAGGCTGGCTCTGAAATGTATTTACACTGAGATCATATTAGATGGGTAATCAAAAGTATCTCACCAACTCTGGATTTTATTTCTGCACCTTATATGAGTTTAGCCAGGCATTGGTGGCCATGCCTTTAGTCCCAGCACTTGGGAGGCAGAGGCAGGAGGATCTCTGTGAGTTCGAAGCCAGCCTGGTCTATAGCTCGAGTTCCAGGATAGGCTCCAAAGCAATACAGAAAAATGAAAAATCCTGTCACGAAAAACCAAAAAGTTGGTAAACTTTTAAAAAAGTTTTTCTTTTGTTCGTTTTGTTTGTTTTTTTAAATTATGTGTAAGTGTGTGAATGTGCACGAGAGTGTGGGGGCCAGAAGAGGGTGACAGATCTTCTGGAGCTTGAGTTACAGCTGTCTGCAACCTACTTATTCAATGTAGATGCTAGGGACCAAATTCAGGTCCTCTGCAAGAGTGATACATGCTCTTAACCAGTGACCTGTTTGTCCATCTCCTCAGCAAACCTTCTGTATCAGGCCACATAGAAAATATTTTAGGATTTATGGGCCATACAGTCTTTATTGACTATAGCAGCAAAAAAGTAGCCAAAGAATATAGACAAATCGATGCATGTTAGAAGACCCTAATGATGCTTTTAATTATACAATCCACTGCCACAATCACCAACAAACAAACCAGCTACTTCAGTTTAGGTTCCTAACATGTCTAAAACGAGAGACCACACTTAGGTAGTCTGTAACCCAAATCCATTTTGTAATCAGGATCATTCCTACTATTTTCTCCCCTTTTAAACAATTCTGAGCCCCGTTAACAGAAATGGATAGACTGAGGAGTTTCATAAAAAGGGGCCCATCCAGTCTATCACTTATCCATTCCTCTCATATTCGACACATTAAAGTCAGCAAATTAATGTGCTAGTTCCTAAAACGTTGTTTCTAATATTTGCAGAATAGATGTTTGTCAAACTGCCCTTTATGGTTCAGCACTGTACTGGGGAAAAAGAATGTTGAAACTATATGTTTCTTTGGCTGCCCTCCCCCTTTGGTTTAGTCCTATTCTGGTTTGCTTACATTTTACATTTTTAATTTTTTCCTTTTTAAAAAAGAATTACATATAATCTATATTCTAATGAGAGGGGGGAGGTGTGGATTTGGGTTGCTGGGTAAGTGGGGGGTTTCTGGGACAAGTTGGGGGGAAAGGGAAATCAGAATCAGAATATATTATACAAAAACATCCATTTTAAAATTTAAAAATGTTGCCAGGCTGTGGTGGTGCACGCCTTTAATCCCAGCACACAGGAGGCAGAGGCAGAGGATCACTGTGAGTTCAAGGCCAAACTGCTCTACAAAGCAAGTTCCAGAATAGGCTCCAAAGCTACACAGAGAAACCCTGTCTCAAAAAACCAAAACCAAAGTATCCATAAAGTGACGTTACATGCATTTTAAAAAATAATCAAGCAGAAAACTGGGTAGTGGTGGTTCAGGCAGGTAGATCTCCGAGTTAAAAGCCAGCCTGGCCTACAGAGTGAGCTCTAGGACAGCCTGGGCTAAAAAAGAAACCCTGTCTTCAAAAAACAAAACAAAACAAAACAAAAACCAACCAACCAAACAAACAAACAAACAAGCAGGAGCTGGCTGAAAAGATGGCTGACTCCAATTCCAGGGAACCTGATAGCCTCCTCCTGTCCTCTCCAGGCGACAGACAGACAGACAGACACAGACAGACAGACAGACAGACAGACACACACACACACACACACAAAACTTGCATGAATATATGCATGCAAAAACACTCATACACATAAAATAAAAATAAACCCTTAAAAATATCAGGCAAATGAAGCTGGGAAAGCAGACAATTCACATTTTAAAACTCAATTTGTACGTTTTCCAAAGATTTGTGGCAGGAAGTCAAAACAAAAGCTGTCTTCTAAGCCGAATAAATGTCTAATTAATCAACATTTAATCTGCTGGATCTTAAGCAACCTGTTAAAATAGGACAGTGAAAGCCAAAACCGGGTTCCTTCCACACTCTTGGTCTGGTTTTCTTTCTTCTGTACTGTTCTGATGGCTCTTTGGTTAAGTGCATGGGAAGGCAAGAAACCTCAGAAGGCAAAGAGGACTTAGAGCCTTCTACATCAGGTACTCAGAACCAGCTGGTTCTACTTTCCAACCTCAGTCATATTTGCTATTCTCGTATGCTACGTGTTTTTTAATTATTGTCTTTGTTTTTGAGGTGAAATCTTGCCCAGGCTAGCCCCAAACTCACTATCTTAATCACCCATCTTCTGGGGTGTTGGGTTTCAAGTGTGTGCTACCAGTCTGACCTCCCCCCCCCTTTTTTTTAAAAGACAGATTGTTGGAACCTGACTGCGTCCCCTGACAATGGGTGGGACAGCTTTGTACTTAGGCAGCTCAAAGGGCCCTGTG